CTCGATGATTCAGGAATTAAACGCCTAGTCAACACGCTATTCTCATAAAAAATGCTTCCTCACAATGGACATACAATGGTTATCCGTATCATGAGTGAACTTCCTCTTCTTTTTTTCCTCTTTCACTCTATTTGCTCTCTCTCTGATTCCCCTTTCTATCGCATATCTGTCTTGCAAATTAGCTACATGACCATCCAGTACATGGTGGGTAAGAGGCTGTACTGATGATTCCCGCTTCTATCCGCATGCAGAGCCCAGTCAGAATTTACAACTAAGGGATGAAACACAGACTACACCGTAAAATTTCCTTCAGTATATGACAATTAAGGCCAATCCTTCTAATCTAATATTTCATCAGACATTCCGCATCCGTACCTCACTGCTTTAAACTTACAGCCACTAAGAAAATCAGTGCCTACAGAATATGCATTAAAGTGTGTGAAATATCAGAAACTCTACCTCAAGTGCCTCGGAGGAAAGATGCTCTCTTTCGTTTGACATCAAATGAACACAGAGCGGAAACTCGTCCACCGTTGCCTTCTTCTTGCCCAAATCAAAGATGCGAATCTTCGGATCCGGTACACCACGGCAAAATCGCGATTTCGGGTATGGCTTATTCTTAATATAGCGATAACATCTCGCCGGCCGACGCCCCATTTTCTTCCTGAAACAATGTATAACAGCCTCGGGCCCCTCATTACAAACGTATATTTTTTCGGAGTGGACAAGTTCAGGCCGAAAAAAACTTTGTTTTTGAAGAAAAACCAACAAAACATGGGACGCGAATGGCGACGACGACGACGCAAGAATCAACCAGCACGTGCAAACCGCTGCCCCCACTATTTAACACCAAAATGACGATATCGAACTGCACTTATTTCTAACCTGTCGCAAAATGATTTATTGCTTTTTGTTAAGAAATTGCGTAAAAAATTGCATGCTATCATTTTTATATCATGGGGAACTGCACTCATTTCTAACCTGTTACATAATGATTTATTGCCTTTTGTTAGAAAAAATCGCGTAAAAAATTGCATTATATCATTTTTATATCATGGAGATTAGTGACATCGACCTACACTCATTTCTAACCTATCATGTAATGATTTATTGCTTTTTGTTAAAAATTGCTTAAAGAGCCACTGTATCATTATGTGATGAGTCATATCATTTTTACAGCACGAGGGGTATACTCAAGTTTCGAGACGGGACATTTGCATATCACATGGGAGCGTAGGGCAACTGAGGTAAAGAGAGGTAGATCGGCTGCGTTCATCCAGCACTCATATCCGCAACATATCCCTTCCGCAACAACAGTAATCATTTTGATTCAGGGAAAAAAAAAGAATTGAGACAAACAGCCATACAGACTAGGGATCCAACATATTGTTTTGATAAAATGGCAGGAACACATCCTCGTAATACGCTTTAATGTACTCGGCTTCCCAAAAGTCA